TGGAGCTGAGGAAGTGCATCTCTAACTAGTTCGTTCTCAGGAGATGGCGATGCTGCTGGTCCAGGGACCACGCCTCCTAAACTCACCGGTCCCTCACCTGGATCAGAGTACAAACCGCGGACAGACGGACAGACGCATTCATCCTCGCGCACTTCTCCTCCTGCCACTCCTCTCCCTAAAACCCGCCACAGTCTTCTCGCCTCCTACACTGTCAGATCCAAGCCCCTTTGTCTGACCCTGAAGATCCCGTCAGACCCAGACCCACATGGGCTTTCAGATGGTGTTCCCGCCCATTTCCCTCCAGGCACAGCACCTACGGCCAAGGCCCAGCAAACCTGCTCCTTCCTTGTGCTCTGGGTCCCAGCTCTAGACACTCACCTGGCCACTTCCGCCCCCGTCAGTGGTCATTTATGGAGGGGGCTTGTCTTTCCCACTCGGTCAAGCGCTTCTGGGCAGGGGACTCTGTGTGCCTCACCTGTGTATCCCAGGGCCCTGGGACAGGTAAGCGCTTGGGAAGTGGATCATGAATAAATAGATTATTGAGGGGATGCTTAATGGAAAATGAAAATTATTTCTCTGAGAGAATTTGAGCACCGGCTCTGAATCTTCAACTTTACCTTGCTTTGTCTGCCTTCCTATATGGTTCATTTCTGGGAATGTATACAGCTTATACACAGAAGTATACATTCTGATCCTGCTATTGACTTGTGACTTTGGGCATGTATTCAGGTTCTCTGGGCCTCAGATTTCTCCTCTGTAAAATGGGACCAGTTTCTATCTACTTCATAGCATTGTTAAGAGGGACAAATGAGGTGATATAGGTAAGTTGCCTGGCACAATGCTTGAAATATATGTAGTAGGTCTTCAATAAACACTGGTGATTTTTGACAGTAGGCTTGCCAGGCAAAATAGAGACAGGTGTTTTTTCACAGGAGGTCTAATAAAAAATAATTCCATTTTATTTGAAAAAATGGTGATAAAGCATTTGAGATTCTTTCCCCTATTTTAATGAATCATGGATACACCAAATGCAATTTTTAAAATTACCCCAAAGGACTAGTAAGCTTGACTTATATTTTCTTTACCAGTCACTTTTATTTCATAAGCCTGACATTTCCATTAAAACGCTATTAAGTAAAAACAGGATTTTGTAGTGTTTGTGATAACCTGGATCTCAATGTGATAGTTGAGATTATCTCCAGCAAAAATTCTATTTCTCATTGTTTTATTTCCTCTTATATATCACCTATATCTTTATTGCCTTCTTCCAGCCGACTAAACCCATTTCCCCTGAATTTGTGGTTTTGAGTCCATGAAAATGACATGCGTGTGACTTGGAAGGCCCTTTTCGTCTTGATGTTATTAACCAGGATGCAGGATGGAAGGGAAATGGGAGTCATCCTCTTGGACGTTCAACAACCCTGGAAAGGAACATGAAAGGCTATCACATAGAAGAGAAAGCAGACTCATTCCCTCGTGGCTTGGGGGCAGGATGGGACACACGCTGCAGACACTGGAGGGAGACATCTTCTCACATGCCACCGGGAAACCCTGAGAGGGCCCCTGGAAGTGGTTAGGGTCCCCACCACCAGGGAGACCCAAACTAAGGCCGCCACCCTGGGGGCTCTGCTGACTGAACGACCCATTGGCACCAATGTCCCCATCTATGTAGGATTAAGAAGTCTTCTCTAAAATGACATCACTGTGAAAATGTTCTGGAACTAGGGAGGGTTCCACACCATTGTGGAGGTCATAGTGCCGCTGAATTGTACGCTTTAAAATGGTGAAAAATGGCGAATGTATGTAATGAGCATTGGACCACGATAAAAGAAAATAGGCGCATCATTGGACAGAATGGTCTCCAAGGCTGCTTCCATAGCACCGTGCTGTTTCTGAGGGAGCATGTCATTCTGTTTAGTCCAAGCAGGCCACGTAGACACTCAGTCTCTAACTGAGGGGGACGCTAATTAAGTGATGGTTCAGGCGTAGTACAGAATGTTACACGTCCCTGAGAAATTACGCTCCTGGAAACATATTTAGTGCCGTGGGAAGATCCTTGTAATGTGTAAGAAGAAGGATTTTAACTACATGTCATGTGATCGTAACTTTGCAGATAAATCAAAACATTAATACCGTTCATCCCTGACTTGTGGTATTACAAATGGTTTTGATTCCTTTATGCATTTCTCAAGTTGTCTTCCAAGGGCATGAATTACTATTAGAATCTATAAAAACGATCTCAAGCAAACAATAAATAGCAGTACTTAGGATTTTGTAACCCCCGATGTGAATCATGATTTGCCGTTGAGTGATGGCGGCGAAATGGGGCAAGCACAGGTTAGAAGGATGAGTTTACAGTCTGGGGTCAGCCAGGCACCGAGGTGCTCCGCTTGCTGTGCCTCAGTCTCTCCACCTGGAACAGGAATGCAGTAATAACAGCCTACTTCCCAGGGCGGTGTGGAACGCGGAGGAGATAATGCCGGCGAGACAGTTGTGCTGATTGAAGGGTTCTCTGAGCTGTTTTCCTGGTCGCTGAGTGTATCCCCACTGTATATTTCCAAATCTTCCCTTTAACAAAAACTTAATGAGTGCTTATAAAGTCGGTGATTGCCACTTATCCAGTAATTTAAGAGCTAATTTCCAGTAACAGTGCTGCTTTCTTTTTCTCATCTCTTTTCCCATAACCTTAACAGCAGAACATTTCATTTCATCTGAGGAGGAAGCACCTGACTTTTATTTACTGTCTCCAGTTGACGGAGACGAGGATAAAGCCAGGTTGGCTGCACGTGGGCACCCCCAGAGGGGTTGAGCTACTCCCCTTGGCAGGAGGGGGCACTTGTTTCCCCAGGACCATGAGCACCGTTGAATTTTAAAGGGGTTTTCCTTCGTGCTGCTCTGGTCTGCCCCTCTGTCCTTTCTTTGAGACCAGTGTCACGACCCACTGAGAAGGAACCGTGAACAGAACTTACAGGACTTTGTGTTCATACCCTGGGGTTCTCTTCCTCAGAGGCCGGCTCCTTGGACTGGTGTGAAGAGAAGACCACTTTGGAGCGCTGTGAAGCACTCAAACATCATTCCCGTTTAAAAGAGCTTATGGGACACAAATGATCATAACCTTGATTTTTCTATTTGAGGATTACCTTGCTATTAAAAGCAAACTTCCCCAACTCAACAAATTCAGTGAAACATTTCCCAAAGGTCTAATACATGCCAGGTCCTATAAAAATCGAATGGAATGCAATGTGGTCCTTGCCTTCAAGGAGCTCACAAAATAGATGTATTGGTACAGAAGCAAATTCAGTGCACCTTGATAAGGGAACAAAGAAGCAAGTCCAAGGACCAGGAGTGGGACATGGGAGAGGGTCAACAGCGTGGCGAGGAGACGCCTGAGCTGCCTTTGAAAGCAGACCAGAAGTGTGTCAAGCAGCCAGGGTCAGGGGAAGGCCTGAAAGGCAGAGGGAAGCAGGTGCCAAGATGCCAGGATGGTCCAACTTGGTGCTGATCGCATGCCTGAAAGTGGGAGGGCCAGGGACAAGGCCCTTTAATAAAGAAAACAGTAGAAAATGACCTTGGTATTGAGCTCAGTACCATGAGATGTGCTTCTAATTTTCCTGCGTCAGTTAATCCATTGGGCAGCATTTACTGTCCATGTTCAATGTGCTCAGGGTTCTGTCTCAGGAATGGGCACACACGGGCAGGAAGGGGTTACACCTGGCCCTCGGTTAGCTCTGGGCAGGGCAGGAGGCAGGGAAGTGAGATGAGGTACGGGAGCAGAGAGCGACGCACTGAGCGTGGAGGGGAGCTGGGTGTCCAGGGAGCACCGAGTCTCCACTGCCAGGCCCGGCCGGGGGCAGCAGGGTGGGACGGCAGGGAGGGCTCAGGACCTTGAAGGGTATAGTGTGTCTAGGGGAGTGACAGGAAATGAGGAGGTGGAGAAGACATTGGGAAGGGCCTTGAATGCCAGAGTGAGGAGTGTGACTTCATTGTATAGGCTCTCGGGGGTCACTAAAGAGCTGTAGCAAGTGGGCAGCTTGACCCAACCAGGTTTGCTTTAAAAGGGGGGCCTCGGCTGCCAGTGTGCAGGATGGATCTGTGGTTGGCAAAGGCTGGAGGCAGGAGGCCCTGTTGCTATAGTTCGGGTGAGAGTCCAGGTAGGAGAGAGAGGGGCTGGTTTCAGGGACTATTAAGGAGGTGGGACTGGCCGTGGCGGCAGACGGGGAAGGGGTAGCATTTATTCTGATGCCTCCTGATGGGGAAACTGGCAGGTGTCACATTCAAGGAGGTGGGAATGAGGATTTGGGGTGAGGGGAAGTGGTCATTCCAGGTGGAGGTGCCTGTGGGTGGTGTATGTGGATGTGGAGGTAAGAAGAACATTCCAGGGATAGAGGTAGATATTTGAAAGGTATTAGCTGTGAATTTTCTTGAATATCAGAATTTCAGAATAAAACACCCAGACTGAGGAATCACAGCACTATAATCATTTTTTTGTATGAGTTCCAAATAAGAAAATAGTTAAGCCAGAAATGTTATTGTGCCTATTCCTAGAATTGGGTAACTGATGTATCTTTGCAAATTGTTCATTGAACTGTGCCTATGGCTTCTTGCCAGCCCTCAGTGAGATTTTTATATTTCTTAATTATTCAATTACTACCCATAAGTAGAGTTTAAAATCAAATCCAGACTGCACCATAAGAGAGTATTCTCTTGACTCGTGAGTACAATAAAGGAGGTTGTCCATTGGGAAGCCAGGATCATAGAACGGGGGAAGCAGATGTTTCCAGTCCTGGCTCTGTCCTGGGTTCTAGTCCTGGCTTTTGCTGTGAACGTGGGCAGATTACTTTTCTGAGATCAGTTTTATCATCTGTACAATAAAAATGGTGCCAGTACCCACCTCCCGAGGTTGCTGTAAATCTCAAGGAAAGGAGAACATGCAAGGGAAACTGCTCTCTGTCTGCTGCAAAGCTCGCTCCAATTGTTCGTTAATTCCTCGTGTGCCTCAGGTCTCAGCAGCTGGAGAAGCCATTAGCCGGAAAGGAAGAGCCTTCTGACAGTGACATGGCCGTCGCCTCGGACGCCAACCCCAACCCCGAAGCCCACCTGCCCTCCATCTGCCTCAAGCAGGTGTTCCCCAAGTACGCGAAGCAGTTCAACTACCTGCGCCTGGTGGACAGGATGGCCAACTTGTTTATCCGGTTCCTGGGAATCAAGGGGACAATGAAGTTGGGACCAACAGGCTTTCGCACCTTCATAAGGTCAGTGAGCCCAGCCCCTCCAGCTTGGGCTTCGGGCAGGGTAGGGTCCAGCGCCCCATCCGGCTGGTCCGGTCTGTCTGGCTGCTCCAGGGGTCTGCCAGCGCCCACCCGGGGGTGGGATTGGCCTGATGTCTTATTTGTTGAATGAGTTAATGAACGTTATGAGTGTGACAGCATTGACAACCTTATGCTGTGGTTCAAAACAATTCTGTGCTACATTGAACTAGGTCCTTCAACTGCATATAATTAGTTAGCCCATGGGCCTCAGACGCACCTGTGCTCCTGATGCTGGGCCAGCGCCCTCCCGGCAGCCCGTGGCCGCGTGTGGAGCGTTTACAAAGCCGCTGCAGAGGAACACAGCATGCCACTCTGAAGTGTTGATTTCGGGAGAGAAAAGTTAAATAATTCAGTTGATAAAAAATTTAATATGTTTGTTCTACTATAAAAATAACAAGCTTATATTATGGAGTATAATACATATTTTGCATGATTTTAAAGATAAAACATGAGGTTTTTTGCTGAAGCCTACAAAATAAGCCATTGCCACCTAATCTCCTGAGGTTATTTGCTATTTGTCTCTTCCTTTGGGGCACTTGGGGCAGTACAGGAGCACTTACCAATATTAGCTGTGTAACCCTTAGGCAAGTTCATGACATCTTTGAACCTCACTGGTCCTGTAAAACGGGGGTGACGCTGCCTTGTACCCCAGGATAGTGTGGGGTACGCCTCAAAGAAATTATCTGCCAGCATTTGATGTCGCATTGTTTTTCTTATCGTTGGTTTTAATGTTTCTACCTTGTACCCAAAAGTCACAATCTTTATGGCCGGTTCACTAAAGCAAATAATTAAAAGTATGGAATCAGAAACCATTGTTGTCACACTTTTCTCTAAGTGTATTTTATAAAGTCTAACTCTAGCCCTCTGATATTCCTGATAGGATGGTAAACAAAAGAATATCAGAAGGAATTTTTGCCTTTTCAGTAACCCTGAAGTAGTATTTGCTCAGTGATTTTGAGAAGGACTTTGTGTTCGTTTCAGGGGCAAAGGGAAAACCCAGTGGAAGAGCACAGGCTTAGGGTCTGGCTTCAAAGCCAAGTGCACGACCATGTGGCTTTGAGCAAGTCCCTTGTCTTCTCTGAGTCTCAGTTCCCTCATCTATAAAGTAGGGACAATCTCCCCTGCCTTGCAGGGTTATGATGAAGTTGGGATGTAACATATCCCAGAACACCTGGCCCAGTGCCTAGTTCAGAGGAGCTGTTTGTTAAATGGGAGTCTCATGGTTATTATTTCCATTAGGCAGTGGAAATTGTTCAAGAAAGATAACAGACACGTGTTGTTATTTCCCCGAGAATGCCACCTAACAGTGTACCCTCTGACTCATTTAGGAATTGCATTTGTGTAGTAATAGATACCCACCTATAAACAGATTAGGTACTGCAATAAGTTTTGTGTTATACAACAGGAAGTGTGGCAATGGGGGTTCTAGGTCTGGTTAATGACTCCGCAAAGTGGTCAACACCCCACTTCCTGTCTTTCTGCTCATCCATCCTAAGCATGAGCTTCCAGCTTCAGCTTTACCTTGTGGTCACAAGGTGGCTGCTCGAAATCCAGCCATCATGGCCAAGTTCCAGGCAGGAAGGAGGAAGAAGGGGGGAAGAGCAAAAGGTCTCTGCTAAATGAATTAGACCCCTTTAAAAAGATTTCTAGAAGCTGTGTTCAATGTCTTCCACTCCTGTCAATCTTCTTGGCCACCGCCATCTGCACAGAAAGCTGGGAAATAGAATTTTCTATGTGTGTAGACCACTATCCCAACATAGTGAAGAGGAAGGAGAGAAAAATAGGTAGACATTCTCTGCTCCTTTGTGATTACTGTGACTTGGGACATAGGGGAGCACCTCTATAATGGAGGCCCCAAATCCTGAGGGCCCTTGAGGCACCATGGAAGCATGCAGGGTCCCAGGGGAATGCTGAGGGTGAGCCAGGGACTGAAACCTTCCGGAGCAAAGGCAGGAGCTTTCTGGGCCCTTCCCAGCCCCTGCACCATTGCAGAGAGGAGTCCATTCAAGACCCACAAGAGTGAGGGATGGCTCAGCCTCATGGGAACCGTAGTCTGTGTGCCGCAGGGACCCTGACCCTGGGAGACCTGCCGTGTCTCAACCTCATGCGGGAAAGGACCATGGCTGGCTTGGCCCAGCGACTTCTCCGAAGCACCTGGTAGCCGCCATCCAATCAGAGATAAACAATGGAACGCCACCTGCCCTCAGGGGACTCTCAGTCTAACAGACAGCGCGTGGGGAACAAATGATTAAATGCAATCCTTTGGCAGCGTTGTGGGGTAGCAGACAGAATAGGGACCCTTTGTCCACCTGATGGAATCAAGGCAGCTTCCCCCCCTCCTAAGAGGAGGCAGGGTTTGGATTGTTCTAAGCGGCACTTTGTCTGGCATCCAAGAGGGGCCACCCTGTCCAGGCAGCCGGAGAGCCGGGGAATGACTTTCAGGAGTGTGGCCCATGTCCCGAAGTTAGAAAAGGTTTATCGTCCAGGCTAACTTGACAGTGGAAATTGAAATGTTTCCTTTTTATTCCTGATAAAATTCTACTAAAATTGTGAGAGAGGGAGGGAGGTTAGAAAACTAGTGCACCTTAAGAACCGTAGTCTCAGTTATCTCTGGGGGCAGGGGGGAAGCCGACACAGGCGCAGCGGCGGGGTCTGCGGGGCTGCGGCCGCTGGAGAGCGAGCTCATGCTGGGGAAGGAAGGGCCCCGCTGGGCTGGTAGCCCCGGAGCTTTTGATTTTTCAAGAGAAACTACAACTACTGACTTTTATGTAAAACCTCAATACATGTATATCACTGTTGGCCATTCAGACAGTAATTTTTAAACCCTTTGTGGGTTCAATCAAAGCGGGACTGCCCGCGGAGACCACGGGTGTGTGAGAAGCCAAGGTGCGCGCGAAGAGGGCTGCCGTGTTCACACACGACCCTGAAAGGAGAGCTGAATTGGGAAGGGTTCTGGCCGGAAAGATTCCTGAAATGTTCTCAGACTGGAACTGGGTGATGTCAAAAATCTTGCTACAAATCCGTCTCTATGTGATCGACCTCGTGCTTTTCCATTTCTTTGTTCTCAGTAATTAAGGGCATTTGCATGAAACGCTGATTTTGTGGTGTTAGAGACTATTAGGTCCTGTGGCCGTCATCCCAGTCAGTGTTAATGGGAACAACAGTGACCGTGGGAAGGGAGCACAATGTCTTCGGGTGGGGACGAGGCAGCGGAGCAGACGGACTAAGACAACGAGCCCCTCCCCCACCCTACCCCCCACCCACCAGCAAATGTCCTGAGTAATTAAGATGCAGGAAGAAATGGAGAAAAAGTTGCACAACCTTGAGTAGGTTTTTCCTTTTTAAAATGCACCAAGAGATCCCAAGAGCAACTTAATCATGAAAGATGATAGTCTGCTTTTAGACTTACCTGCGTATGTTCAGTGTGGCCAGCTAAATTTAACAGCAGGCATTTCCTCTTGCTAACAACTATTCTCTCTCCTTTGCACTTGGTTTAAATTTTGCTTCATTATGAATTAATAATATTTATGCCATATGTGAGGCTGAACCAAGTGCCCTTCTTGGGAGCGCTGTGCAGGAGACGCAGACGCTGACCTGACAGGCCTGCCTTCAGGGCCGCCACGCGCACAGCAGAGGCTGAGCTTGGCTTTCACCTCTGCCACCCACTCTCTCCCTCCCAGTTCCTCGAAGAGAACTGGAGGGAACAGAATAGTAAACATTCCGGTGGAATTTATTTCCAGTGACCATCTCTCATCATGCGCTGCACAGATCAGCAGTTTCAGGAGTGAATTATGCTAATGCCAGGCTGGCCATATTCTATTTTTCTCTTCCACCAAGAAATGAGAAATAATGAACTGTCGTTCCGTCTAGACCTAACTCTGTCTAACCAGCTTTTCGTGTCATTTCCTTGGGAGGCACAAAATAGTAGCACGTATTACCACGAATTAAGTGCCTCTTTTCCCTGTCTCTTTTTTATTATTATTTCACAATAATTGCTGGGGTGTGGAGACTTCAACTTCTGAGAAACAGAAATGATCTGATTCTTCAGTTTGACAGCTTCCTTTGAGGGAAATGCGTTTTTGTTATTTTCCTGCCCCTGGATTACTAATTTGGGGGCGTCCTGTGTAATTCACTAAGAACACGGTTTCCAAGTGTATCCTCCATCAGGATTTGACATCAATTTGAGTATGCTACGTTTTCCTCTCCGAAGCCTGAAAATCAAACCGCTTGCTACACGTGGGTTGATTTCTAGGAAATGGAGGGGGCCGTTCCACACCCTGAACACTTTTGCTGGGTGCAGGGCGTTTCCACTTGAAGACCCCTGCTCATCCCCTTTGTGGCCTCGGAACCTGGTCTCCTTTTAAATTAGAGAACAGTTTTCCCTTTTTCCTTTTTATCTTCTTCTGCCTCCTTTTCTCATACGGAAATGTTAATATGCTTCATAATTGGTAGCGGTGGGGGGTTTCATTCTCTGAAAGGCAACATGGTGTGTTAGAATGTCCTGGAATGGAAGCTTAAGGGGCCTTGCCTCTCCTCTGTCATTAACTCCTCGGTGACTGTGGAATCCCCCACTTGTGGGGGGGATGACCTCTTTCTGGCACTATTCTGAGAGTCTATGCCTGGGATATCAATGACGTTTAAAATAATATATACCTTATAACCTGGAGTGGTCTTTTCCCCCTCTTTAGATGTTTAGGTGGTGGGTTTTTTGTTTGTTTGTTTGTTTGTTTGTTTGTTTTTAAACAAATATTGGTCATTTGCTAGCTTTCACCTTAGAGACACCTCTCCAGGAAAAATAGGCTCCTTGTCTGCACAAAGAAGTATGAACACAAAAGAAATTCTATAAATAGGATTTTATGGAGTGGAAAAAGTTGATGTCTAAATTTCCCGTGAGATGTCGGTAGTTGTTGAGAGGAAATGGAGATGATAATTTCAAATCTTCCTGTACTCGGGATCCTAATGAACCTGAAGGATTTGTGATTCTCTCCCATCCTGTGCCCAAATTCCTTTGATTATAAAAACAAAACAAAACATTTCTTCAGGCTGGTTCTACATCACGGAGGAAGGCTGGGAGCTGCTATTGACCCCTTCCCCGCATGTACCAGGCACTGAGCTAGTCCTTGAAATAGCTTCATACGGTGAGTAGCCTGACTCTTGTGTAGGAATAAAGAAACTTAGATACAGAGAGCTTCAGTGACTTGCTCAAGGTCACACAGCAAACTCGAGATTCAAACTCACGTGCATTGGACTCCACAGCTCCTTGCTTCTATGTACATTTCCAGCCTATTTTTTTTTCTTAGAAATGTTTCTGGCTTCTCATGTTACCATATTGCTTGGACTTCTCTTCTACCGAAGAATTTATGCCTTCATCGTTTGAAGAACTGCATCTCAGGACATAAGGGGAAACTGGTCTCAATGATTAAGAGCTTCCGAAGCCTCACGTTTTTACCCCAGGCTCCAAGATCACTTCCACCTCTGAGACTGGCACCCAGGACTGACTCAGCTCTGCATCACTTACTGGGCCCAGAATGCTGCCTATGTGTAGTGGTCACAAAATAAATTCTGCAATGAGTAGATGAGTGGATGACAATTCATCCCCTTTCAGAGTCTATCACCAGCGCTTGATAACCACAGGGACAAACCTGGGAGAACCGGCATCCCAGGGACCCTGTCGGCTCCCCCAGCCTTCTGCCCCGAAGCTTCCCCACAGGGCCTCCCTAGAGGCTGCAGCTGTCTTGGGCTTCACCTGCGACTTTGCATCGTAAGTCCCAGGGTCTTCCTGCGGCCCTGAGCTGGGCTATCTCCCCACTTCTCCCCAAAGCTCCCAAGCCCACTGTCCTCCAGGGGAGGACCGAATGTGAATCCCAGCTGTTTAGTTTCAGGCAAATCATGTCCCTTCTCCTGAGTCTCAGCTTACCCATCAGTGAAATGGGACTAAGAACACCGTCCTCATAGAGCGGTTGTAAAGATCCAGAGAGCTGATGGGCAGGAAAAGGCCTGGCGTGCAGATGGTGCCTCCCAAAATGCCTACAGAATCAAAATTCTTCTAAGGCATTTCCTGTCTGCTGCCGCCAGCATGAATCCCTCCCCGTCTCGGGAGCAGATGTGGCGATCAACTGCACTTGCAGACGTTTCGAGGGAGGATGAGTTTCCTTGGAAAAGGGATAAATGGAGAATTCTTTTCGGTAAATTACGGCTCCTGCTAAAGGTTTGACACTTCCATTTTCTACCTGTCAGGAAAAAAATAACTATATACCAGTGGTCAGTTCAGTTTCACTCTTTATACTCTATTAACCCACAGAGCCAGGCAGCAGAGCTCCCAGCCTGTGCAGGAGTGGGGAGCCCAGAGGACACTGATATGGTAATTAGAGAAAGCCGAGGCCACCGCTGATGAAGTTTGGGAAGCGAGCTGAGCAGGCTGTTGGAATGCCTTGGGAGATGCTGAAGCCTCACCCCGGCGGAAACCAATAGAGATAGCCATCTCGGTGACAGGGGACATGAAAAGCTCTGCGTCCACTGACATGTTGTTACTGGGGCTCAATAACTGTGCGCTGATGTACTTTGAAGTCCACCACGGTGACTTGTGATTGAAATACGGAACCAGCCCAGGAGGAAGCAGGATGTGAATTGATGGCTTTAGAAATATGCATGGGCGGGAAGAAAGGAAGGGGGGCGGGGGCCAGTGAATGTGCTAGCATGTAAGGAGCGCCAGCCTCGTCCAGGCACCATGTGGGCATCCTGCGGGCACACTTCCCGACGCCCTTGTTAGGGGCGTGCATGGGTTTGGAGAGGAGCCTCTGCAATGCCCGCGTCCTGCCTGCCAATCAACCCCTGGCCTGTCAGGTTCCTAAGAGAGCTCGTCACACAAGGGAGGATGACAAATGGGAAATCAAAGAACCACTTTATCATTAGCTGGGGCAGTGGATAGTTGGAAGGTTGAAAGCAACAACGAATGTAGTTCAGCCAAATGAACAGCTGGCCCAGAGGTCTAGCTGCCCGGATTCTCAGGGCAAATGCAGCCGGTGTGGGGACGTCCCTCAGCGCGATCTGAGCAGGAGGGTGGGGCACCTGGTCACGTGGGGGGGCCATGCTGGCTGCCTCCCACCTGAGCAGAGCACAGGCATCGATGGCACCCAGACATAGACTGGCGAGCGGCCCTTCTCCAGAGCGGACAGGGCCACTCACTGGAAGGCCAGCCTCTGGCAGCCCCTGATAGGCTCAGATGGTTCTAGTTCCGGGAGAGAAGAGGAAAAAAGGGGAGAGAGATCGGAAGGGAACCAACATTTGCTGTGAACCAACCGGGTGCCAGGCACCACGCTGGCTCCTCACCTCATTTTCCCAAGGGCCACGTGGCAGGTTATTATCTTCAATTAGAGACCAGCAGACAAAGGCTCGGAGATTTAAGTAAATGGCTCACAGTCGCAGGATTTCAATCCTGGTCTGCCGCATGCCCAAATCGTGCACTTTTCAGCGTGCCAGACTGCTTCCTCGTGTTTCCAGATCCCCCCAAAATATACAAGCGGGAGGAGAAGGACTCTAAACGCCCACTGTGACTCGGACAGGGTGCACCGTTGCTGACATAGGACGAAAACCCGGCTATCTTGCCCTCCCTGCACCTAAACCAAGGGGCCATCCCAAACTCAGAGGCTTGTGCCCTCGCTCTGCCTGTCCTTTCCAGGTGACTGCCCTAAAGTCAGCAATGAGCACTGAGCCTCCCATGCACCCTGCAATGCTGCCTCAGCCCACGCGAAGGCGTGTGGGGAGCCTGTGCCATTCTGCCCTGTGAGTCTTGGGCTTCCTGGGGCTGATTTGGGGCCTCCATAAAATCTGCAGGTGACAGGCCAAGGTGGGTGAAGTGCAGAGGCCCCGAGGCCCGGTCTGCAGGTTTGGCCCCAGGACTCTCCTGGCAGGCAATTCCAGGGGTGAATCCCTCTGCACAGCAGTGGTGCTGTGAGCGGGTCCCGGTGATGTGCTGCTGCTATCACTGGGTCACCTGAGCGTGCCACCGTCGGCTGCCTGGACGCTGGCAGGAGGACATAGCATGGCGGGTCCTGCTCATCTCTTTCTCCAGAGACTAGTGGAGGTGAACGTGCAGACATTTCCCTCTCCGAGTGGACAGAACCCGCATTGGATGTGTAGGGACAGGCCAGCCCACCCGACTGTAGTGAAGACGGCCTGTTGATAGGTGGGGAAACTGAGGCTCAGGAAGGGGAAATTGTTTAACCAGGGCCATCTGGCTTCTAAATGGCAGGGCCAGATTTGACTGAAGACTTGCCCTCCTGAAGTCCTTGCTCTGTGCGGCCCATTAAAGCCCTAATTAGCCAAATTACAGGAACCCATGTGATCTAACCTCAAGTTACGGTACATTTCCAGCCCCCTCTCCCACCGTTCGCTGCCATGTGCCCTTCATTAGTTCCAGCCCTGGGAAGGGGGGCCTGGCAGGCAGGGAGCGCAGCCCAGGCAAAGGCATGCAGGTGAGGGAGAACAGGACCGGCTGGGTGCCGCAGTGACGTGTGCCTTCCCATCTTCGGCAGGAGTTGCAAGCTGAGCAGCAGCAGCCTGTCCATGGCCGCCGTGGACATCCTGTACATCGACATCACGAGGCGATGGAACTCCATGACCCTGGACCAGCGGGATTCAGGTACCCGGGGACTGGTGCCCGCCATGCCCTGTGGGAGCTCAGGCAAGGGTGGGCAGTGCATTTTCTGTTCCTTCCCTTTCAGGGTCCAGGTGGGGGAAAGAGGAAGGTTATCCTATCAGCTTGAGGGACTGAGCTGAATATGAGCTCAGAGACACTGTCAGCTACAAGGCTGCGCCCACCCAAACTCCAATTCCCCCGTGAGAATCCCTCGTTTTGCCTAAGGCGTTTTGATTCCATTCTCACTGGGAATACTTGGTGACCCGTTCGCGCTTCCGCCCTCGGCACACATGCACGGAGCACGTGCCGGGCCAGGCCCTGGACAGACTGGAGTGAACGGTGCGTGGTTCTCCCCTTGAAAACACTCTCTGTCAAGTGGTAGGCAGATGAGAACACAACACGAGCGGAGTGGGGTCCGTGCTGGGAGGAGGGAAGTGCAGAGAGGCTCTCGGGGCACCTGGAGAGGGCCCCGTGGGAAACGTCCTGGAGGGCAGGGACGCTGCCTGGTTTCGGCACCGACCGACGCCTGTGAAAGGCTCGGGGAACCCCAAGGGAAGTAGATGGGCTGGAGCAAGAAGAGAGGGCAAAGGGGCAGAGATGGGTTGCAGGAGCTGCCGAGGCCTTAAAGGCCACACACAGGTTTGCTCTTGATCCTCTAGGTTCTGTGGCGTTAAGGCTTCAGTTAGAAGGATCCACCTTTAGGTGGATGAATTTCTGATCTTTTTCCTCACAAAGGGTGTTTTTCTCCAAAGTCATAATAACCATACCTGACCTTTGTCTGGCTCCTCACAAAATTACCGAGTAGTCTCATGCCCATTCCCTCACCAAACGTCCCCGTGCGGTAGGCACTGCCAGCCTCATTTCACAGGTGAGTAAACTGCAGCTCGGGTCCCTTGGTGCCCGGGCTGCCCTCCGAAAGGGACTCACAGCGGAGGGGCACCCTGGGGAGCCACTTTCTCCTGCGATTTGGTGGCGAGGACATGAAGTCGCGAAGTGGGAGATCCAGGTTAGAACTGACTATGCCTTTTGTAGGATGTAAGCTTAAAAAGCCATTGCACCTCCTAATCTCCACTTCCACTTCTGTAAATGGTGGCAACAACCGCTGCTCTTCAGGATACCTGAGGTCTCCTGCGTCCGTCCATCTGTCCGTGGGTGTGACAGCCTTCGGAGCCCTCGGTGGCGGTACAGGGCAGTTAACCTTATTAGCGGGCACCTCTTGGGAGAACCCTGGGGAGGCCCGCCTGACCTCTGAGAGCCAGAGCCTGGGCACGCCTGCAGTCTGCCCTGGGCTGCAGCCTCCTGGCCCCGGGGACCAGCAGGCCTCCCTGTGGGCTCTGTGCTCAGGCACCCTTTGCTGACTGGCCTCACAGTGCTCACGATGCTCTGGCTGCCCATAGTTGTGCGTCTGCTACATGCCAGACCCTCTGCCGGGCCTTTTGTGTGCACAGCACTGGCTAGCACACCCCCAGAGGCAGACGCAGTGATCTCCATTGGACAGAGATGGAAACTGAGGCTCGGGGCGTGGCTGGTGGGTAAGGCTCTCGGTTGCTTTGTCCTCCTAATTGGCCCTGGAGTCAGAGGACCGCCCAGCTCCCATCCTTTGGGGAATACCAACGCCTGTTGAATCCACAGGGTGAGTGTTCTGAGGTGTCTCCACAGCGCGCTCCCCCGCAGCCTTCCCTGGCAACCGGGAGAGGCTGGGGATGGAGCGTCTTCAGGAGATGCAGGCAGATTAATTATCATCTCGAGGGCCGAGAAGGCTCCCGTGACAGTCGAGTAGAGAGCTTTCTGCTGACGCCTTCAGAAAGTGAAGAAGTGTTTGCTCTGTGAGTTGAACGCGGGGAGTGGTGGCAGGATCCTGTGGAGGGGGCCAGATGAGGGGGTGGGGTGGCAGTGGAATTATTAAATATTGAAATTGATCAGGAGTAGCAGCAGGAAGCTATTTATCATGTTTTATTGCTTCAAACTAGCATTACCATCTGGCCCATTGTTAATTGTGAGTAGCTTTTCCTGTTTTGTTTGCCTCTTAAATTGCTCCCTGTAAGCGGAATCTGTGGGGGCTGTCGGCAGTACAGGCTTGGTGAGGTTTTCTGGGGTCTGCCAGCTTTCTGGGGTCTGCTGACCAAGCTAAGGAGATGAGAAAAATACTTATTTTTAGCCCATTCTGACAAACAAATCCCAGGCCGGGATCTTCCGAGCCTCTCCCCTGCCTCTGCCCTAGTGTGCGGAGTAAGGAGAGTAGCAACTACAATTTCGAGATCATCTCCTAGGTACGCAGTTGCTACTAATTCTCACACCCACCTTCAAGGTAGGAAATTGGATCCCATTTTACAGATGAGGATCCTCAGGCCCCAGGAGCCAAGGGGACTTGTCTAAAATCCCATAGCCACTGAGTAGCAGAAGTCACATTTGAACTCAAGCCTCCTGCTTCCTGGCCCTCCTGGCCCTGCTGGCCCAGGACGAGTCCCCAGTCCAGGGCCACACCAAGAGGGCTGGTCATTTGATTGACTGAGGAGGGGAGGGTCTTGTGAGGCAAGGCACCAAAGGCCAACTCCCGGAGCGTAAGACCTGCAGAGGAAGGGACTGGACTGGGAGGTGGTGTGGAGTCCAGGTGCCTGTCTCCCCGTCCTTCACCCTCAAGCCTATGCCCCCATTTCCATCGCCCCTGAAAGGAACTGGGGCGGAGGTAGCGCGGGCTGTGCCGAGCACCCCAGGACACGGCCGTCTCATGGCTGGGGCCGGCCAGGGGCCCGTCCTCGCCTCCTGAGAAGCCTCGTCCGACACCCTGATTCTCAGAAAGAAGGAGCTTCTCAAGCCTTCCATGTTCTTAGGACCATGCGGGAAGCTACTGGATGGCAAAAGATGACATCTGTGGCTGAGTCTGAGCGGTGGTCCTCCTTCTGGCAAGTGGCAGGCAGCAAGGAGACAAGAGGGTCGGTCCTTCCTTCCCCTTGCGGGGCTGACCCCGGGGCTTCTCAGTCCTGGCCGGAGGGATGGGTGCCACATCCCAGAGCCACCGTGGGCTGACAAGGAAGAAGTCAGCAGGGCAGTCGAACATGGGATCTCATTCTCAACGGGCACGCGCTCATTCATTCATTCACTCGTCCATTCATTCACAAACAGGTACTGAACATGGTAGCGGGTAGCGGGCCCGAAGGGAATATAAAGAGGGAATTTATATATACAAATCCCACTTTCAAGAAAAAAAATAAGAGACCATTTACTGTGTGACATTCACTATATGACAGAAATAAAACATGCTTACTATGAATTATCTCCTTTAATCTCACCCAGCCCTGTGAGATAAAGGCTCTTATTCCCGTTTGACAGATGAGAAACCCGAGACTTAAAGAGGTGAATGGAAATTGATGTGGCCAATGGGACCCGGGGACTGGAACCCAGAGCAGCCTGCCCATTGCCTTTCCGTTATACCCAGTGTCTCTAGCCCCACAAGCACAAAGGATGCACAGTTGGCAAACATTGGAGCACATGGTCAGAGCTCCAATGGGGGAAGCAAAGAAGGAAAGTTCTGTGAGGGTGGAGAGAACACGTATAAAGCATTAGCGTGGTGTGTGAACCAGAACAGGCACTTACTGTGTGCTCTGTGCCCCTGAGGGCCTAGCACATGGCCCGGAGCATGCGAGAGGTTCTCGCTCAGCGCCCAGTAAATGTCTGATGAGCAAACGAGAAAACAAAAAAGCCCCCATCCCCAAAGCAGGGAGTTCTGAGTGTGAGAACTTCGGCTCGGGAGCGGTGGTCTGCTTGACAGGGTCTCCCTTCCCTCTCCTCACTGTCCAGCATGAAACACTAGCCTCTTTGGATAAGATCGCCTTCCAACACCCTCACCAGCTGTGTCCAAGTGCTTCGGTACCGCCTCCTTTATAGAAGCCAGCCCAGTCCTTCCTTCAGTTCTAATGAGACTTTGGTGCCCACTAAGGGAGTTAACCAGATTCCTGAGGCTTGAGACCTTGATGAACCTATTCTTGAAATGGAGAAGAAAAATGATGTTTAAAAAGAATAGTGAGGAAAAAAACTAGTAAGAAAAAGCAAGCATGTTATAAAATCTAAGCCTCAGACCATCCTTTTTGAATAGGCTTGTTTTCAATTTTTCTTTTTTCTTTTTTTTAAGTTTGGCCAGGTACATAAGATTGGTTAATCATAACCTGCGATTCATGAGACACTTTGATCCTGGCCTGTGCGTAGCCTACTTTTATTTAGTTAGCTGTTTTAATTAGTTATTTTTAATAATGGCATAAGCAGCCACTAACTCATCACCCAAAATCAGGAGCTAGGACTTGACAATAACCCACACGATAGCATGTGGCTCTTCTCAACACCCAGCCCATCTCCCCCCACCCCACGCAAGGAGCCCTCCCCTGGGTGCCCCCGGGCTCCTCCGTCCCGGAAGAGGCTAGTCTTCCTCTCCGTTAGGACGCCAGGGACCATTCAGAGCTTGATGGAGTTTAGGAATTGCAATCTCACAGTCTCCAGCAGGCCGATGTAATTGTCATTTTAAAAAACCCGAAAGATTTCCATTTCCAATGTTAGAATTTCTAGTAGAACACAGGAATCCAAATGAGGGTGTTATCAGCAAAACTGGGGTGTGGTAGCCCTCTCCCAGCCCAGCCTGCAATGAAGAAACAAATTTGTCAGTGCAGGTGAAGTTATTTCGTGTAAATTGTACTCACAAGCCCCACCTCCTCATTGAGACTCTGCTCTCAACTCTGTGGAGAGCAGAATTTCACTTCTCAGTGGCGAGAGACTAGGACGGCATCAAGATTAAGCAATACATTTTAAAGGAGGTATCACTGGTGTCATCTTTGAGAGACGAATATCTCACTAGCAAAGGGGACATTTGAGCCCAGCACCTGGGCATCTCATCCATTTAACACACGACAGATATCGCAGGGCTTCTGACCATGAACAGCTCTGTTCACTTTGCAGCCAGACGTTTTGCTGTTTTAAGATACAAGTGAAAGGTTCCCTCCCGGGAACCAAAGGAA